CCCGTGGCAGCCACTTCCTGAACTCACCCTGAGCTACCCCTCGGGACAGTACGGCTGCCGCCTGTGGGTTTCTGAGGCTGCGGCCCTGTGTTGGTGCGGGTGCCGGGTGCCGTCGCGCCAGCCCCGGCCCATAGGGACTGTCCGTATGCCCAGCAGAAGGAAACACGCTGCCCCAGTCCCGGGCCGCCTTCACTGGTGTTCCTAAGCCTGAGCCAACTGTTGTGGCCACGCGGTGTGTTACATTGAGCCGAGGGCCTCCCTGGCTCTCGCTGCCCCTCCACTCTCCCGAGCATGACGTCCTTCTCCAGGGACCGTCTCTCCTGACCCTTCACAGGAGTAGAAAGCCTCATCTTTCTCCCTGGGAGCGGCTGCTGGGCTCAAACCTATAGTGTCGGAATGACTCGATGCAGTGAGGTCTTCTGCTGTCGTTGCTCCCCTGGGTTGCCGACCACAAGAGGAGTGGGCTGAGCCCAGCAGCCGCGCCACGGGAGAAAGAGGAGGCTTTCTACTCTGTAGAGATGGCCGGCCTCGGAAACTCGCGAGGTCAGGTCTCGCTGTCCTGTGAGGTCGCCGTGAGTCAGAATCATCGGCAGCCACAGGTTTTTAAGTTTAAAGTCCCGCGGTTAGTACAGCGAGTGAGGGGCCCGGCTGCCGCACTGAGGGGCAGTGGTTCAGACGTGGAAGCCGCTCCCTCCGTGGGGGAAAGAGGAGGCAGACGGCGTCCACCAAGGCAGACAGCCTGGGAACCTGCGCAGGGAGCTGATCTGGGTCCCGTGGGGTCACGGTGAGTGGGAACCGGCCCGAGAGCAGCTCAGAGAGTGTACTCGGTGTCAGCGCAGAAGAAAGGTTTGTCTGCTTCTGTGCCGGTCACCGCCACGGCGGGCTGAGAAGCACGTGGGCTGGGGAGGAGTGGGAACGGACCCCGGGGTGGGGGCAGCGGGCGTGCTGGTGTCCGTAAGCCCTCGCCATTTCCTGTCTGCGCCAGCGGCCTGCCTGGAGGAGGGTGCTGTGGTGTCCCTGGCCTGTAGCCACCCCTCGCCTGCGGCTCCAGCCTCGCCACTTGTCAGGACCCGAGTGATGGTGTCTCCCTGTCCCCGCAGAGTGCCTTGGGCCAAGTGCCGCCAAGCATACTTCGCCCGCGGGAAGAACAAGCAGTCCCTGGACGCCGTGGAGAAGGCGGCGTTCTTCGTGACGTTGGACGACACAGAGCAGGGCTACGCGCGGGACGACCCCGTCACGTCGATGGACAGCTACGCCAAGTCCCTGCTGCATGGCAAGTGCTTCGACAGGTGGGTCCTGCCTCCGTGGGCGACACCAGCAAGGGGACACCCGGTGGGGCCGATGTGCA